TTGCCAGGTCATGTCTCCTCACCTGCCCCTCCCCCTGCGGGACCGGTGCCGTCCTCAAGGGGACCCAATCCCAGGCGGAACCTCTCGGAGCACACGTACTGCACCCCGTACGCCGACAAAATCGTGTGGAACTCCTTACGGAGTACCCAGGGGGGGAGATACTCGCACCACAGAGGTGTACCCTGTACAGGCAGGTAGATTCCGGGACGGGGGGGGGGGGGGCAGTCAAGTCACAAGGGCGAGGAAAGAGTTATAACGGGGGTTGAAAACAGTGGTATTTCAGCACTTAACAAGACCAAAAAAACGAGTTGCAAGCCCGCGCACTGCTCAAGAGCACAATCGAAAGATAAAGATCGGATATCTCTATCATCCAAATCTCAAACCAGCAACCCCCCCAAACGCAAACCCTCGGCTTTTGTCTTGTACTTTTTCCTGCTTAGTCCAAAGCTCTGTTTACCTCTACTATCGGAACGGTTGTTAATGTGAAGACAACAACAACAACAACAACAACAACAACAACAACAACAACAACAACATTGAAGTAACTCACAGGTCCCGTGGTGCCCTCCCACCCCTCCGCCGTGCTGTGCACCGAGAACCTAGAGACGAACCGCCTCCCGCAAGTGTCCAGCGCACCCTTAGCGGCGGATGCTTTCGAAGATGATGACGAAGACCCCACCGTAGACGTTGAGGAAGACTTACGCCTGCTCGCACCGCCTCCCCCCCCTCCTCCGTTGCTCGCCCCCTTACCAGCGGGCAACGTGGCCGAAGCTGCTGCCCCTCCTCCTGATTCTGGATGTTCATTCATTCGCAAAGACAACAAGGTGAGTGACAGGAAGAAGGGAATGGGGTTGAGGAAGTAATGGAGGTCGGAGTGGTGCTACCTGCTTGAGCACGAGACCATCAAGACCATCGTGGGAGAACAACAAGACCCATGTGGATTTTACACGATCCTTCTTGGCTTGAGGGCGGAAGTTAAACTATGTACTGTAGGTCCCCTCGTGATCGCAAGCTTGTCCATCAAACGAGTCGCAACGATAACAACAACAACAGAATGTCTGATGCTTGCGCTTGCGCCTAACCTTGACATGCGTAGAAACGCTTCATTCGATACTATCCTGCGACGCACAATCTACTGTACAGCAGTGCCGCCAAAACACACCAGCAAAAGACCGCGACCCGTCACACCAAATGGTATGGTACAAATAAACCCGTCCCAGTACAACACACATGCCGCCAAAAACACCTCTCAACACACCTCCCGACCCCGGTCGCGACCCAGAACCGCCAGAACCAGCAACAGCATCGCCGGTCTCCCCCGCCGTCGCCCCTTCGCCCCAGCCAGTACCCGGTACGCCTGCTGCCGCTACAGCCGCCGCCTGCACGTCGACCACCGCACGGCACTCGGTGGTATAATCATTCGGATCCGATGACCAGCCGGCTCTGACTTGCCCCCCCGTTAGCTCGGCCTGGCAGGAAGGGCAGGTCTCGCTCCCGTTGTCGATCTAGAACGCGCGAAACACGCACACACAAAAAAAACGTGTGGAGATGTTGGTGGAGGAACAGGGTTTGTGTGCTGGGGCATTATTGAGTAGCATCCAAGGCGCGAACCGCCTGACCGTATATATATAATACTTCAGTCTCAGTGCGGTTGCAAACTCAAAATGCTGCAGAGGGCCATGATCTGGGACCCCGTGAGCGGACGTCATGGTGAGTGCGTATATGTGTATCTTTAGTATTAGCGCCGATAGCGCTAAACACCAGACCACTGAAAGGATGGCAGTCTCGGTGCGGCTGAAAACAGAAAGCGCTTCTGAAGGCGTGAGTGCATATTCTTGTATATACTAGCATCGACCGCGCTGACAGGCAAAAACGCCACCGCGTCAGTCCCACTGCGGCAAAAACGCCACCGTTCATACCCGAAACTACCACACACTTGCTGTACTCTGCTAGTCGTATTTTCTGGATGGCGGGGTTGCGCTTGCCTTGAGGTCCTGAAAGAGACGCTCCAGCATCTTCTCTCCCATCAACACTTGCTCCTGCATTGCCTGTCCTCCGATGTCGTGTTCAAATGGCAAGCAGCAACTCAGCAGCGTCAACAGACCCCGAGATAGGTAGAATGATAACATGATGCAATGTGTAGAATGGTGTCATGCCACGTTGGGAAAGGGCGGGTACGTATGGCGTACGGCAAGACAACGGTGTACATGGTTTTACACCACGACTTCCGACGACGGGAACGACAACGACATCGACAAGGACAAAACAAGAACAACGACAACGAGAACGACACGAATGTCGACACGAATGTCGACATCGACAATGACAGAACAAGAACAACGACATGAATGTCGACATCCACAACGACAAAACAAGAACAACGACAACAAGAACGGCAATAACACCGACAAGAATGTCGACCGACAACGACAACAACGACAACAACGACAACAACGACCATGACAACGACAACAACCCAGTGCCGAGAACCAAAACGGGCGTACACAAGCAAGCGAGATGGCGGAACTATAACAACCACCTGAGAAGCGAAACCGACTTATTTTTCGAGAAAAAAACATAAAAAAACAGATGCAACCGAAAAAGGCCCCGCCCTGCCCGCAGCTACTCCACCTAGTGCTGCAACCACCAAGGCCACGGACGCACCATCGACATGCCCCCCCGCCTGGCGTAAGGGGACGCGCTTCTCTCCAGCCGTATTCGCAAGTCCGACGAGCGGCGGACGTCTTCGTCCTCTTCGTGTAATCGAGACCGCCGCCGACCGCGCCCCGTCCCGCCCGCCGTCCCCGAACCACGCCGTTCGGGAGTCTCGAACTCCCCACCGAAGGAGTCGCGAGCCTGCAAGTCGTTGGCGGCAGATAAGAAGCGTGTTCTGATTCTTGGCCGCATCGATTCTCCCTTCTATGTTTCATCGAAACAGGGTAAAGTATAAGGAAGCTGAAATGGCAGTACCTTATGTACAATCAAGACAATTTAGACTAGGTCGGATGTGTCTTGTTCTTGTGTTGTCGTTTTTAAAAAAATTCAGTTTTTTATTTTTGTGTTTTCAATTTCGGTACGTATATATTTTTTTACTTTCAGTTTTGGGGACGCAATACTGCATCATGAAAAAGAGAGCGTTGAGGACAGTTACCCGAAACGGGAGAGAGAGAGAGAGAGAAAGATGGAGCGTACTGTAGGCAAGGATTTCTGGCGGTGGGCAGGTTGGTCTCTCACCACAGGAACCAAACAACACCAAACCGCAGCTCCTCGCGACGCAAGGTGGGCTGTAATAAGCAGCCTCTGATTGGTCTCTTACCACAAGGACCAAACAACCGACAGCAGACAAATACAAGAGGAAACAACAACTCGCACCTCCTTGGCGACGCAAGGGGAGGAAAAGGCGGGCTTGCCCAGAATCCCGAAGTCCTGCTGTGAGGCAACGGAAGACGTATGCCGGGTCGGGGTAACAGACTCCGGCGTCATCACGATCGACCCAGCCGTAGCCTTCGCCGTAAAGCGGGTGGTGGTAGTCTTGGTTGGCGCCGCAGCGACCGCAGCGTCGGTGACGGTGGCCACTGACGGCGACCTTGAGGGAGTCGCGTTGCTGGTGGTCTCTGACTTGTCGTGGAAGCGCCTCATCATCCTGTTTTGGTTGAGATTGAGGGCGGGGGGGGGGGGGGGGGGGGGGGGCCTTTCCGGTTAACCCCTTTTACCCTTTGGCCTTTTTTTTTGGGGGGGGGGGGGGGTTTTACCCCCCACCCCCCCGGTTAACCCCCCTTTTTTC